GAAATGTGCCCCATTCTAACATAGGAAGTTATTGCATAACCAGTGCATGGGAAAGCAAATTCAGTACAAGATTGTTCTGCCGGTGTGAACTTGCATCTGAATCAACGCTCAAACATTAGGACCTTACCCTCAGCCTTTGACACAAAATGCCTCAACACCGATTAGCAAAACGTTTATCTTAAATCTTTATTTAGAAAGGGGATTAATTTCCTTAGATTTCTAAATGATTTTATCATGTGATTTGACTTTTATTGGGGAATTTTGAAGGGATTATGTTTAATTGGTGTACATGAAGCTAAAAAAAACAGTGAGCATGCAACTAACAACACCAAGATCATGAGTCTGAATTTCAGGGAATGTATGCCATGAGCTGGTAAATATAAACATATACAGGTGCATCTCAATAAATCAGAATGTCGTGGAAAAGTTCTTCAAAAAAATCTCTCAAACATTTGAACAGTATTTTAACCACTGACATTCATTAGCTCTCTCGTTTTTATCTCCTTTTCATTGGCAAAATGTGAATGTGATGTGTTTAACCTTCTCACCTTGCTCAGGTATCTCTCTCCTGTTCGACCGAGCCGACAACCCCCAGCAACAGAGGCCGAGCCCCCCACACCAGGCACCAAAGCACTCCGTTCAAACTCTCTGAGCCTCTTCTACAAAAAATGTATGTTAAAGCAAAGTTTACGTTCAAATGCAGTGAGTTCTGAAAAGAACATTTAAAGTTGTTGGTTTATACTAGAGGTCTTCACGGGTCCACTTGGATCCGAAAACCCGAGGTCCGACCCGAGACCCGAGCTATCACCCGACTATCACGTTTATTTTTCAAATCCACTGGTCACAATTGAAAGCGGAGCTCAGAAATACCTTGTGGGCTGTACACACGTTTACGTTCGGGTCCAGTCGGGTTCGAAAATAAATGCCATCGGGTCTAATTTCATCGGGTCGGGTTTTTCTTTAAAAAAAATTTAATTTATGCACGTCGGGTTCGGGTAAGAAGTGATTCGGGTCGGGTACAGATTTTAGGACCCGAGAAGACCTCTAGTTTATACACAAGCTATAATAGCATGCATTAATAGCATAGCGTTGGATTTGCTCTCCTAAAATCAATATATATATATATATATATATATATACATACATATACATACATTTAATTTAATAATTTATAATTTATGCATTTAGCAGACGCTTTTATCCAAAGCGACTTACAGTGCATTCAGGCTATACATTTTTTACCAGTATGCGTGTTCCCTGGGAATTGAACCCTTTTGCGCTGCTAACACAGTGCTCTACCACTGAGCCACAGGAACATGCATACACTTAATAACCGTTTGTTTTTTCTGTTTTTCAGTGTACAGGATGGCCTACATGCGACTGAAAACACTGTTCTCGCACCTGCTGACCTCACACCCAGAACTGGAGCCAATAATATGGACCTTGCTTCAGCACACCCTTCAGAATGAGTATGAATTAATGCGAGACAGACACTTAGACCAGGTACAACCAGCTCTTTTTTTCATAAATTATATAATAACCTGCATTTGCATTCTATTAGCTTTGCGGTTTATTCAATGTCATGTTTTAAAAACTTGACCCTCTCCTCCCTCTTTTCTTTGCAGTTGATTATGTCGGCTATGTATGCCATATGCAAGGTGAAGAACGTGGACTTGCGCTTCAAAACGATTGTGACCGCTTACAAAGAGATGCCTAATACTAATCAGGAGGTGAGAGTCAATCTGTCTTGTTCCCTTTTAAATTATTTAATTCAGATGATCATTCAAATACAAAAAGATTGAATCTAAAGTGATATTAACAAATATTCAAGCCATCTTTCGCTTTATTTTTCCCGAATGTGTCAGACATTTAAGCGTGTGCTTATCAGAGAGGGACAGTACGACTCCATCATTGTTTTCTACAACCTGGTCTTCATGCAGAAGCTGAAGACTAACATTCTTCAGTATTCCTCTCCTCGGGTGAGGCGGTCACTTTTACTTTCATTGAATCAAACTTTACTTGTATTATACTGCCCCCTAGTAGCCTGAAGTCATGTTCAAATGAATTAAAGACTTCACAGTGACTTCTGGTTGACCTGAGGGTGTTTCTGTTTGTCTCCCAGCCGCCGCCTCTGTCTCCCATTCCCCGCATCCCCTGCAGCCCCTATAAAAACTCTCCTCTGCGGGTGCCTGGCAGCAATAACGTCTATGTCTCCCCTTTGAAAAGCAGCCGTATGTCCCCAGTGGTCATGACCCCACGGAGCAGGTCTGTGTTCACATCTCTCATTAGATTCAGGAGATCTTCTTATCAGTTTTGGATACAGAATCTTTACACTTTAAATGCTGTATTGTCTTTTGACTAGATAACTTTCATCTTTTGCTATTATTTTGGGATGAGGCATGAGGTTGACTAGTTTGTTTGTTTTTTTGTGTATTAATTGTGCTGTATCTTTTCTTTTATGGTGTCCTGGACAGAATTCTTATATCTATCGGCGAATCCTTTGGGGTTAGTGATGAAAAGCAGTTATTGAATGTTCAATCCATTTTAAATATGTTAGACTTTATATAAAAAATCTCTCTCTTCATCTCAACAGTCTGCAGACAAATTTCAAAAAATTAATGAGATGGTGAGCAGCACCGATTGGTCCCTCAAGAGGAGTCTGAATGGAGGCTCCGCCCCCAAACCCCTGAAGAGATTACGCTTTGACATGGATGGGCAAGATGAAGCGGACGGAAGGTGGGATTTATGTTCTATTTTTTGTTTATTTATCTCTCCAAGTTTGAATCCAGTGAATCATTGAGAATGTTTGTTCATTTTTAGCAAATCGAGTGGCGAGTCAACACTGATCCAGAAGCTGGCTGAGATGAGTACGTTTCCTACAACCTTCGTGCATGTCTATTGTCTAAATTTTGAGCTGGATTTCCCAGAACCACAAAAATACTCAAGCCATCACACTTCCTCCTGTCTGTAGATTTTTTTTTTTTCTTTGTTATGAGTCAGATGTTAGTTTTTATTATATAGTGCAAATTAGAGGTTGGTTGTATAACCACAATCCTTTGTCTTGAGTGATTGCATATCACAGTAGGAAATTCAAAGAATAAATGGTTTTAATTTGAATATATATGTTATTTATTCCTATAATGGCCAGGCTGAATTAGTGTCACATGATTCTTCAGAAATCATTCTAATATGCTGATTTGGTGGTCAACATTTTGACATTTCTTATTATTATCAATGTTAAAAACACTTGTTTTTTTTTTCAGGATTCTTTGAATATAAAGTTCAAAAACAGCATTTATTTGAAATGGAAATCTTTTGTAACATTATAAATGTCTTGACTGTCACTTCAGATCTATTTAATGCATCTTTGCTGAAGAAAAGTTTTAATTAAAAAAAACAAAAACATCTTACTGACACCCCAAACTTTTGAATGCAGGGTTTCCGCAGGTCCTTAAAGTCTTAAATTATACAAGAAAGTCTTAATTATGATTTCAAGAGGTCTTAAATTTGGGGACAGAAAGACAAGAAATGTAATATGGCTTGATGAAACTTCAAAAGGCTACGATTTCATTGAATAATTATGAGCGGTGCACGTTTCGGCAGAGAATGAATTTGCATTTTCAATCTGCCCATCTGCTGTTTTTGTTCAGACCGATGTGAAAATAGATCCGTATTTTTATGCAGCAAACAAGCAGAGTTGTAAATGTGAATTGGTGGATTGACAAGTATCTAATGCATTATAAAAATCTGAACAATTAAGACAGTAAAATATATTTGTTATTTTATTAATGTAATGATTGATAATAATTGTTTAAATTAATATAATACGGTATTTTATTTTATTTGTGCAGGTCTTAAAAGGCCTTAAAAAGTCTTAAATCTGATCGTAGAAATCCTGTAGATTCCCTGTGAATGATAGTGTACATTAAAGAAGCACATGGTAATGCTTAGCTTTGGAAAAATCTGATTAAATATTTCTGAAATTAAATGTTCGTCAGCATATTTGATTATTTTATCTTTTTATGTGAAAATCGATGGATGCAAACCAAAAGAAAATATTGTTTGTAAGTCTGGCATCAGTGCAATAACAGCTTTACATCATGTAACGCTTCTGATTTGTTGAGCCACATTAGAAGCTGTTGTACAACAGCTGAGACACACACACACACACACCTGTGTGTTGCTCTGCTAGAAACAATAATCGCTTAATAACAAGTTCCTCATATTGATCTTGTTTTGGATGCATCCTGCTCTATATTTTTGCATTACTTCACTTTTTTTATGCATTCTCACATGCAAATAACGTGAAGTTCTATTGCACTATTAAATGTAAAGCAAAAACAGCTGTGCATTTTGGAATGCTGTATTGAGCAGTCATCACCCAGGACTGGAACGATTGTAATGTATTATTATTATGTATTAATATATATCCTGCAAAAAAATGATTAAGAGTGATTTCTGAAGTGTCATGTGACATTAAAGACTGGAGTAATGGATGCTGAAAATTCAGCTTTGCCATCACATGCATAAATTACATTTTCCAATATATTAAAATAGAAAATGTATTTTAAATTGTAGAAATATTTTTCAATATTACTTTTTTACTATATTATTCATCATATAAATGCAGTCTTGGTGAGTATCAGAGTTTTTCTTTTATAATTAAGAATGTCAAGAATCCCATATTTTCCAGCTGAATATTCAACAAATGGAATTTGTTTTCTATTCCGCCTAATTACATTCAGATAGAAACGTTGCGAAATACCATAATCAAAAGATGCAAGTCATTGTTGTATAATTCAGCATCACGTTAAAGGCTATTGCTTTAACATTTCTTCTTGTCCCTTCAGGCTCGACACGTACTCGTATGCAGGAACAGAAACTGAAGGAGGAGTCCGTTAAAGAGCATCCAGAGCCCTAAATAAATCCACTTTGTACTGCCTGAGAAAAACCACTCCACCATTGAAAGGGAAACGTTCACATGCCTGGGTGTTTTGTTACTACTACATTTTGGACTCCTCCACCTGCACTGCATTTCCTGAAATAGCACAGGTGCTTTTTCTGTGTTTTCATTTTAGTTTTTTTTAAGCGTGTGAGGGTCCATGAAGGAGGTTTTATTCTTTTAGTAAATTACATGACACATACCTCATTTTTGGGATAGTTGACCCAAAAATAAAAATTCTGTTATCATTTACTGACCCTCAAATTTTTTCCAAACCTGTATAAATTTCCTCCTCCTGCGGAACACCAGAGAAGATATTTTGAAGAATGTTGGTAACCAAACAGTTGATGGACTCCATTGACTTCTATAGTATGGGAAAAAATACTATTAAAGTCAGTTGGGTATATCGGCTGTTTGGTTACTAACATTTGGAACAACCTGAGGGTGGGTAAATGATGACACAATTTTAATTTTTGGGTGAACTATTCCATTAATTGATCTACAAACATATAAAAACTGGCAGGTTTAGTGTGTCATGATAATTTTTTTTTTTTCCCCTCTTATTTTCATTAATTTTAGAGCTGCCTACTTTTCCTCATTGCTGTACATGAAATTGTGATTTACACAGGGTGTAAGATCAAATTTTACAACAGTGTTTCCTTTAATCATGTATTGTGATGGCCTTGTTTCTTTGAGGACCCCATTGTGCATGATTTAATTTTGAAACTGTATTATAAATTTGTTGCCGTTTAAGCATTACTGGGGTTTTAGTATGTTATTGTTGTGTAAGTGGATGTGCATGTGTTTGTCAACACAGCCGGTCATCTGTCTGAGATTTTTATGTTCTTCCTGGACCGCGTTGTTGTATTTGCTGTTGGATTTTAAGATTGTTTTAGAGCTTTTGTTACTAATATAAAAAAAAAAAAATGTTATACCTCAAATGTTCTTTTTTTAAAAATTATGTAATGCCTCAAGTTTAACAACTGATTTGTTTAAGAACAATGAAATGTGTCCTGTTTTGATTCAAGGAAGACAGTGGCACCTTTACCTGCCTCTTGTTCCCATAAACTGAGACTGTAGCCATAGCACATGGTGATAAAATGATAAATCACACTTGTTTTTTTCGATGAACTGTTTAGGCAAGCGTTGGCAGATATATTACTTACCGGAATGCTGTTTGTCAGGAAATGAAGTTCGCAAATGTCTTGCTCGCATTAGTTGTATTTAAAGTTCAGAGAATAATCTCTTAGTGTCTTGTTTTTTTTAGAAACCTGATCATTTTTACTTTGAAATCGTCTTTTCATCCATGCTTCCCAATAGTTGTGAAATCACGTATTTCATAAGTAGGTTACTGTTTAGAAATGATCATGACTCAAATACTGGAACATGTCTATACATGAAGGCAGAAGATGAAATTCAGTGCAGTTTGTTCATTCAAATTCCCCATCACGTCATTTATGGTTTTTAATGTACTGCTATCATCATAGCATAGACGCTCACAAAGGCTCTGCTTTGTCAGCAGTGGGTTCTTTTAAAAGGTTATCAGTACATCATCACAAGTGCTTGTGCTTGTGAAAGTTTAGTGCAGCATAACTGGGTTAAATTCCATATTACATGAGGAAACGAATAAGGGGGACGGTAAAATGCACATCTGCATATACTGTTGTGGTTTAAAGCTGACATGCACAATTCAGAGTAACCAGTGTTTCGTTTTGCACCTAAATGGCTTCTGTCACTTAACTCATAATGATAAGCTTTGGACTTTGGACCTTTTATATAAATGCTGTTTATCAAGACATATTATTCAAAACACTTATCTACAGCAATTGAAAGAACTGCCGTACTGAACAATGCAAGTAGAAGGGTGGCTGCTGTTCTTATAGAAGGAATTGAATCAGTCCTTTTGAACAGATTAAAGTGATGATGGGGAGGCCGGTCTTGGGACATCCTCCTTCTACTGTGTTTTCTACCTCATACCTCTTCTAGAAGTTGACAATGCTGTGCTGGTTTGGCTAGTGACAAAACTGTGCGCTTTTGGATGACCTGCTTTCACCTCTTCACACTGCAGAAAAGGTAACATGTCTTGCTTTAATAGTTTGCTGTTAAATATATATAGATAATAAATGTGTCTCGTAAACTTGCTTTAAATTACAGTTGTAATTGTTCAAAACCATTCAGCTGGGTGTTAACATGGCATGTGGCCACTATGGAGAGAAGTAATTTGAGATAAAGATTTATTTTTAATATGACTCTACTAACTGGGATTGTGATGGAGATTGTTCACACTAGAATAAAAAAAACCTGTTTTCAAGACTGCATTTAAAGGTAAAGGTAAATTAAAGTGTGAACTGCAAATGGTACATACCGTAAAACTTTCAGTAAGAATGCAAAGCACTTACACTCTTAATAATAAAGACTCCAAAACGGGGTTTTCGGAGTCAAGCAACATAAAACAACCATTTTGAGTTCTTCAAATAACCTTTCTGTGAACATTTCTTAAAAGAACCTTTAATATGTAGAACCTTTTTCCCACTAAAAGGAACATATTGTGGAAGGTTCTGTGGATGTTAAAGGTTTTTTGTGGAACCATTGATGCCAACAAAAAAAACTAGTTTTTAAGAGTCTATACATTATCATGCCTAAGGTAAGGCAGAGATAGGGATAGTTCAACCAAAAAATTGCTTGCTTTCATCTTCGAAACAAAAGATATTCTGAAAAGTAAATTGCTGTTTTTTTCCATCCATGCAATGAAAGTCAGTTGGGTCTAGTTTTGTTTTGAACCCCATTGACTTTCATGGGCCAAAACATTCCTCAGTATACCTTCTTTTGTGTTCAAGAAGAGTGTTAGGTTTGTAACAACATAATGGTAATCTATCTCTTTAAGAACTGTTCTGTTGCTTGTTTTAAATCACTAAAACTAACTTTGTAATCTTTCTCCAGGGAAGGACATGAATGCGTCTTTTCCAGAGCTCAGGGAAAACATCTCCTGTTTGAGCTCCAACAGCACCGATTACTTTAAACGCCAAGTGTATCCTGCAGCATACATACTCTTTTTTGTCATGGGACTTGTTGGTCACTCTTTATCTGTCTGCGTCTTCTTCAGCCAATGGAGGACCCAGAAGAGTTTCACTCCAGTCAGCTTGTTAATGGTGAACCTGTTAGTATCAGACCTCATGCTGGTGTCCTCTCTGCCCCTGAGGGTCTCATACTACATACTGAACTCACACTGGATGTTTGGTCACGTCACCTGTAAATTAATCTCATACGTGTTTTATCTGAATATGTACAGCTCTGTGTATTTCCTAGTGGCCCTGAACATCCTGCGTTATCTGGCGCTGGTGCGGCCGTACCTGTACATACGCATACAGACGCACTACGTCGCAGGTATCGTGTGTGCTCTCATTTGGCTCTTTATGGGTTTGGCATGCAGTCCACTGTTGTTTACTAAGAAAAAACATCAAGACGAAGGCAGTTTTCGATGTTTGGAGCTGGCGGAGGACAACGTGGACCAATTGCTCCTCATCAACAACGTTGCATTTCCGGTGGGCTTTGTGTTGCCTTTGGTGGTTGTTCTTTTCTGCTCGGTCTTGGTTGCGAAGAACCTTCTGAGGCCTAGTCCTGCACTCGGTAGGACCAGACCTTGCAGGAAGAAGGCTTGCGCTCTGGTCATCATCAGCCTTGGGATCTTTCTGGTGTGCTTTTTTCCGTATCACATAGTGCGGACAATCTTCTTAACAACTGAGAAGCATGGCCAGATAAATGGGTACAAAGACTCGTGTGACTTTATTTTGGTAGTCCGTAAGGCTGCCGTCATAGCGCATTGCTTGTGCACGGCTAACAGTTGTCTGGACCCTATTCTCTTCTTCTTCGTTGGGGAAAATTTCCGATCATTCTTTGCTAAATGGACAGGAGGAAGAAAAACCAGCACTTGTGCTGCAGGGAGAAATTTACAGCAGGAAGAGTTACGGGTTTTGCAGAACTGAATGGAAAATGGTTGAACAGATCAGATCAACAAAGAACAGACCAGAAGTACAAACAAAGAACACACAAGAAGTACCTCATTCTTCTGTGTACTTCATAAACAGATGCACGAAAAGGTCACGTTTTACTGATCTGTCTTTAGAGGTGTTTACACTGATGGTGATTAGAGGAATATTCTGGGTTCATTACTAGTTAAACTCAACAAAAATGTTATTTCTGCAAATTAATTTTAACTGATCCCTATTTTTCAAAAAAATGAAAAAAAAGCAAAAATCTTGGTTGCAATGAGGCGGTTACGAAGAAACTGAAGGGCTAATTTGTAAACATTAAAATAGGCTACTCGCTGTTTCAGTAGGATAGCCACAAGACTTAAGTAAAATGCGTGTTATGATTTAGTGTGGAAAAATACTAACCTTTTCTGTATTCAATTTTACAACTTTGTCACCATGAGAGCGCAATACCATAAACCCTAATGACCCTTTATGACCATAAAAATGATGACAACAGCTATACAGCTCAAATAGTTTTTAATAGAAGACTAATGCCTGGTTTCACAGACAAAGCTTAAGTCTTAAATGCATGTTTGAGCTGCCTTAACTGAAAGCAACTTGCACATACCTTAAAATATATCAGTCCCATTGATTTGTATCAAGATGCACACCAGTAATGTTTTTTTCCTAGGGCACATTAAAAAAAAAAAAAAGAATTAAATGTTCTAATTTAAAGCTGCAGTCCGTAAATTTTTTTGGTTAAAAATTATCCAAAATCAATATTTGAGCAAGTACATAACCAGCCAGTGTTCAAAACTATCGCCTTACTTTAGCCCGATTCACAACGGTTAGCTTATAATAATGTTTTCTAATTTGAGCGGTACGGGTCGGTTTTCGCGGGAAATTCGAGCATGCCGCTGCGTCATTAGGTCACGTCTGTAAACATAAAGAGGTTGTCCCGGCTACTAGGCTATGGCATGTGAGGATGCTGTAGGTGGCAGATCATTAGCCTTTTCTCACAGCAGCCAGAATAATTAAATGTAAAAAAATCATTTTGATGGTGGATTGTAATCCAGAAAGGATTATATGAAACACAAGTGAATGAAATTAAATTATATTCCAGTTTTTAATGTGCTTCTGATTACAGATAGCCTGGGATTACACAAGATTTGTATTTTAAAGACAACCAGTTAGGTTAAAAGAATATCTTGGTATGAAATTCGAATGGTATGACAATTAAGAGATTAGATTGTACAGAAATGGAAATCTACACATACACTATACTCATAGTCACGCAATGCTGATGTTGTTAACATTACTAATCTGAGAATAAAGTATAACAATAATAATTTGCATGGTTTGATGTGATATGAGCTAATCGATCGTTAGATTAAATCACCATTGGCAGCACGATTTATTGTAATGCTTTTTTCCTCAGTGGGTCAGAACAAACGTGGCAGACTTGTTACTTGTTCAGATGACAATATCCGGTGAAAATTCTTATTTGAGTCATATATTCCAAGATATAGGCTAGAATCTGTTATTACTAAGTATAGGATTCACACCGGTGCCGTGATTTATGGTGAGTTCAAGTCATGTCGGATAGATCGTATTTATGAGTTGAACGCACATGAACGCCACCACAAAGTCGTTATTAAGAGTGGGGAAACTAAATTTTCTTTAAACCCCGAGTTTCCGAGTTGGGGGCGTGTCAGTTAGTGATGGCAAGTTCGGATCATTTTACCGACTCAGACCTTTGAGTCTCGTTCAGCAAAATGAACGAATCTTTTTTCGAGTCCTTTCGTTCATTTTAGCAAAATATAATTAAAATGTTACGTGTTACTTCCCTAATACGTCTACTACTTACGCAAACGTTGATCACACTACAAACAATACAAAACTGCTATAAGAAACAGAAAAGATTAATTCATTGTTTATGACTTGAACGCACCTGACGTCGTAATTACGACTTGTCAACTCGTAACTAAGTACGAACGTCCCAGGAGGACTTGAACGCAGCATGACTGCCACACATACTCCTCAAAACATTAGATTCATCCGCGCTGGAGCCGTGCCAGAGTACAACCCACGCAAGGAAGATAATTCCGCAAGTAACTGCAATCCCAGGTTTTCAAACAGATGGCGACAAAGAGGCAAAATTTACGGAATGCAGCGTTAACTAAGGCCCAATCCTGGCTTAGTCTAAGACCTGTCTGTGAAACCAGACCAATAAGTGCTTTTATAAAATTAAAATGATCACAAAGCCTCCAGAAATTAGCCCCACTTACTTCTATTATAATGGTGAGTTCTAATGTCGGAAATATTGAATGCTGTTGATTGAGCTTGTAATGAACCCAACATGTAAGTCGCTGTGCTCTTCCTCAATTCCAATATCCAATGATATCAGGTGGCAGATCACTGTTTGCGCTTCCACTGGTATTTTCCATATTGTAACGCTGCTCATTTGCATAAAGTTACCTTTGCTCAGCTTTGCAGCTTAGCCAGTGATTACTTTCTCTGAGCCACTTGCTCTCTGAAACTGAATGACTGCAAAGTTTTTTTATTTATTTTTTTATTCCAAATAACCGTTAGTGCAAACACCACCTCAGTATTATGGTGTTGAATGTTAATCATGCTAATATTTAGCCAGTGCTGTTGCACCCATATGTGTGTACTATAGCATGTATTATGTTTTCAATGTATATTTTCAATTAAAATTGTTTGTCCTTTACTGAAGGTCTCGCTTATCTCTGTGCATCTATGGCATGTGTCTGCAGAGTCCCAATCTCAATCATGAAGCAAAAGTAATGCAAGCAAAGCATGTGGCTTCATGCATTCACCTGCTTTTCACAGCTCTCCTTGTCGCCACATTAAAACTGCGCACATTCCTCTTTTTAGGTTGCCATACTGACACGTTATGTGGTAGATATCCACACTGTTTATTTGTCATCAGATTCATACCATGAAGCTCAGTTTTTTTTGTGGTGAATATCACTTTATCTTCATCACATCTGCACATCCTTCCACTGTTCATGCTTAGAATGAAACTGACTTTCAAACTTTTTGGGGGGTTGTTTATAGTTACAATATGTTAAATGTCATGGTCACTGGTCAGATTTCATTATAAGCATGCATCCCATGCATATTGCAGTACTTTTTTAAGATGCGATGCTTAAAAAGAAAAAATCTCAAGGGAACTGTTTCCACAGCAAGTATGTTTTGTTTATACATAAACATTGAAGCATGATACTGCTTCCTCTTTCATTTCATCCATAAATGGAAGCATTATCACTAAACCATTGTTCCTTACTAAAGCTCCTCCCATTATGGTGCATACTGCGCAACCTGATTGAAGCACATTAGAAACGTCCTCTGCATCAACACACAGGTTGTGCCTCAAAGTCTTGTGAGCTACGGACTTAAATTGCATTTTTAGCACTTTAGAGCAATTTTGGCAAAAGTGTTTTTCATCAAGTTAACTCTTAGCCACCAAGCAATAACAACATATTTTAAAAGCTCAGAGGTTAATGCCTTTGTCTTGTGAACATTTTTTCATTTAAATTAATCATTGATATGAGAAACTAATATTGATATAATGTAGATGTTAACAGACCAAATTTAAACAATCCAACTGTAACTACAGGTATATTCAGGTTTTTGTTTTAATTGAACCTATTCATCCCAGCAGTACCAGTGGTTTTGCATTTTATACTGATCTGTTGGTCTGTATGTAAGAAATGTGTTTGCTAACCTCTGGCGCTGCAATGAAGCCGTTTCTGTTATAACACACTTGCAAATCCACACTCTTCACTATACTGTTAACACACCTTTGTTTTATGTTTTGTCATTTTAAGTTATCTTGAGGCCCCCTGATTGAGAACCACTGTGGTAGGCTGTATTGCTTGTTTGTTGTTACGTGTGTGTTTTTTTTTTTAGATGTACTTTTACACTTTATTAAAATGTCTTGAGCTTTGAAAAAAATGAATGTATCATTGGTGGTGGTACTAGTTGTAGTAGTTTTGTCCATTCCATGGCTTGTCATGTGATGTAAATATGGCTGCGCCCATGAGGGGGCGACCTGCCCAATGCAGAATAAAATAGCTGTTTCTAGAAAATAGATGTGTAGAGTCTTCATGACATTAACACAGTTTTAATTATATTTATCAAAAGTGCTGTTCTTTGTGTGAAATATTTCTGTAAAGAATGACCTATTGCACCTTAATAACGGTATTTTCAGCACAGTTTTTATGAGTAGTTTCTGTAATCTTGGGAAATACGTGAGAAACTACAAGTCATTTCACTGCAACAGCTTTTTAGCAGAGTATGGCACAATCTTTTGACCATGGAAATGTTGTAAGAGTCAGACCTAAATATAACTAACGACCACCCTCTTAACTCTGCGCTCGTGTGAGGACAGAGAGCGCGTGTTCCTTCAGCAAGTGTCACACCAAAACAGCTACAAGAAGTTGAGGCGTGAAAGATGGAGGTATGCAATCATTTACTGTGCTTGCGCTTCAAACTCTTTGTTGTTGCGATTTTTTTTCCTCAAACTTTGCAAGTTTACTTCCTATACTGCTCATACGTTGTCTGCTGCAGAGTAAACAAAAACTTGTTGCATTTCAGTCCATGAGATGCAACGAGATGATTCAAGATGGCAAAGCATCAATCTTTATAGACGTCTTTTTTTTTTTGACGAGTCTGTTTTGATTATACAGTGGGTTCCAAAATTATAGTGAAAAGCTTGTGTTTTGATTTTTTTTTATTGAATAATTTTTAATTACAAATGATATTGAGTACAAATTAAAAAAAAACAATTTAATTAACATACATTAACATTTCAATGTTTTGTATTGGTTTGTCCCTTTGCTCTAACGCCAACAGCACTAAAGCTGCACTTCTGTGTAAAACTTTATGTTTGTTAGCTTAAATAGATAAATATGCCTTCTTGAAATTACATCATAGCATTTCTAAATCCTCAAACTTTTACTTCCAGATTCAGGTTACATTTTGTATCTCAGATTTTGTGCTCTCAGAATTTTCGACTCCACTGTATGCATAATATATTTATACATTATATAGTTTTTAATTTAACATACATGTTTGGGTTAAATTAGTTATTGTTTGTTTAACCTGTTTAATGCATATTTTTTGGGCAAATTAATTAGGGTTTAAAATATGTGTATTGTCAAGGTTAAGAGATGATAATGGTTTCCACATAATAACACTCTTGGCAATGTCATATGTGAGTTTGGAGTCAGTGGGTAAAAGATGAATAAAGCATAGCTGTGGTTATGTAATTCACATTGGCCAAGCCACCTGTAAACCTCCATCGATCATAATTCACATAACCTTGTTCGCAGAGGCTGCTATCATCACTAGCGGTTTTGTTGTTGTGTTTGTGCCATTGACTCTTCGAATTGTGTTTGACCAGTGAATCCTTTTGCTTTGACACTGCCTCCCTTACAAGTCTCAAGTTAGAAAGAAAGTATAAGTGGAATGACAGCAAGCTAACTGACACAGGAAGTGGTGTAACCTCATTCGTATGACAGATTAAAATGGCGGGGTTGGATGGTGGACCCACGTGCTTGAGTTTGTAGGTGCATGTATGCTTTGGTTTGCAGATAGGAGTTTTTTTGACAACTGATTCCAGCATACAGTTTGTGATTAATTGTGGCTGAATGCTCTAATCACTTTTTTTCTGTCAGTGAATATTTTGAGTGCCTATAAATTTACAACAACTGGCATACAAGTAGACAACCTTTTTGAAGAGCTTTGACAACTTGGAAATTTTGAGTGCAACTGACCTGTGGGCAAATTATGTGAATTTTTCCATAGGTTTCTGTGTGGTTTTTTTTACTGTGTCCTATATAGCCTCTGTATATATTATGTTCCACTAAAGCTGCCATATATCATTAAGTAGCTTTGCAAATATAACAATAATAAATAATTATATTATTTTAATAAAATTTCTGAATATCAATTAAGTGATTGTTTGAGTTGGACATACCAAAATAAATGCCTAAAAATTCAACAGTTAATTTGGTTTAAAATGTATGCATATTATGTTTTTTTTTTCATGGCTGTTTCAAGAAATTATTTGACTAACAAATTATATTTTAAAGATATAACTTTTGTAAAATTTCAATCAAAATATTAGAGAATGGAGAAATTCAACTGATCAGTTTCAAGAACTACAATTATTACACATTTCATATCAGTATTTGTAATTCATCTTCATGTGAAAAATATGCTATGCAAATGAGTCAACAACTGGAAACATCATCAACAAAGTCGCTCATCAACATTTATAGTGTTCGATAATTGGTGCTTTATCATGTTAGATGTTTGTTATAATTACTGATCATGCAGACTGAGGCAACAGTGTGGCGTTACACAATATTATAGCAGAATTATTTAAAACTAAATTTTATGTGCTGCTGCTTCTTGGGAAGTGACAGAATAACATAGAAAACACCTGAATGTGCATGTGCTTCTGTTGTCTGGTTCGGAAAATTACGTTGTGGTCAGGAGAATTCTTTGTTTACTCAGATATGCATGTCAAATAGCACAAAAAAAATTAATACAAAAAAAAGGGACAAAATAAATGGGTTTCTCAGCTCATTTTATTATGATAGTCAACTTTTGCATAATTTAATCCAGAGGAACCATTCGTAAATACATTCTGAGCTGAGCCACTTTTAAAGAGATGATTTAATTCCTGCCTTTAAAAAAATGTATCTTGGCTGCTATAGGAGTTGTGAAGACTGGATTGACTGCATTGAATGCATGTCTGTTTTACAGCTTTGCGTTCAGTCATATTGACTCTCAGAGCACTGTACCACTGTAGTGGACTTCTGGATATTTAAGTTGATTATCTCCTGAATGTCAGCTATGTGAGCATGTGGGTCAGTGTCAGTCCCACCTCGGCAGCTGTTAGGGCAGCTAACTCTCTTGTCTGAGCTGTGCACAACCACACAGAGTGTTCATAGATGAGACAGAGAGATTTGGAGAAGGGAAATGTTATTGCAACATAACATTAACCGACTACAACAAGCTTCCTCCCGAAAAAGCTTGTATATTTGGTTTGTTCTTTGTACTTGATAGTGTTCTGTGCATTTAGGAGAGCAATCCTTCATTACCTCATAAAGGAACTTGCTTAACTTTGTGCTGGGAGACTGTGAGAGCATATGGGTGTGAACTTGTCAAAAAAAATTCAGGGACATGACTTCATTTGGAGTATTAGCAAGTGATGTAAATGTTCAGTGCAGGACACAATATCCATGTCTTTTCCATGCCATGATTCAAAACAGCTGTTTGGTTCATAGTTGTGTCACTGTCAGGTAACTGTCCATTCCAACCAAACAGACCTTTCAGATGTCAGATAATGCCAAGTGGAGAAAGGTTGTCCCGTCACAGGACGTGGATGTCCGTGCTGTAGATGGAGTCATTGCATACTCCTGGAACACTGTGTGATTGATTCAAGACCTGGACCCTGATGGGATCTGGGTGTGAGGTGGAGTCCGTCATCATAACTCACTGACTCACACCAGAGTGTTTTGCGAAGGCTCGACTTTTCCAGCACAACATTCGCTCCGAATATTCCAAGCCAGAACATGATGTCATAGTACTGGGGCACTTCTGGATAGAGATCACTCTAGAAGAACATGATTGTCTTTGAACTCTGTTGCCTTTAGTAAAGAAATGGTGACTTAGGCCATAAACATACTCTATACAAGTGTGAAAATATGTGGTCTTTTTGCAACTTTGCATTACTGTGGGTAGGGGTGCTCCGATTGATCGGCTACCAATCACTATCGGCCGATAATCATGTTGGGATGATTGATCGGCAGTCTCTAAAAAGGCCGATCTCTAAAAACCGATCTCAAGCTGATGATGCGCCTGCCGTGAGAGGTTTAGTGATGTGTCGTTCGCGAACGAGCTGGCTCTAAGAGCCAATTCTTTGTAGCGAACGAGAAGAGCCGACTCCCGTCGGGGAGAGTCAAATCTTCAACCGGAGCCTTCTATTTTACACCAATTTAGCAATTGTGAATGGTTTGTGTGTTGGTAAGCAATTTTTTATTTAGTGTTTTCATAAAAGCCTTATTTTTATGCATTTTTTAGTTACAAAAAAAAATAAAAATACACATGCGGCTAATTACATGGGAGGACAGACTAGGATCATACCATTATGTGAAAGAAGGAAGGGGGACACACGCTCCGAAGATAGCGAGTGTAGTGGTACAGGCCAGGTACACAGAGCGACAGAGGGACAGGGGAGCCCGATTTAAACGCAAGTGCGTTGGTTAAGGTAGGAAGACACTGCAATTTGTTGCAACATCGGTCACCTCATAGAGAGTCTTCTCAAAAACAGGACAAATAATCACAGAGAGGAGAAATCGCATCAGCACATCCATGTTGAGGCATCTGATATTTCTGAATGCCAACCTGCACTAAAGACTAAAGTGTTATTATTAAAGTTTTAT